AAAAAAAAAAAAAAAAAAAAAAAAGATTTATACTATTTATAGCATATTTATTTATTATTCAACGTAATATTCGTACTCGTGCCTTCTTTTTTTTTCTCCCCTTCGGTCAAACACCCGCTCAGCAACACGCGGTGCCTTTCAGCCACCGGTACACGGCCCCGGCGTTGCGGAGAAATATTTGATCGCCTACAGAAATTTCGGAGCCCAGGGTTTACCGGAGCCAAAAAAGACAAAAAAGTTGTGCTCGCCGCCAGGCGCAGGTGTACTGGTGGTATAAGAGTCCATTTAAGGGAGTTGATGGGGTTATCATGAGCTACCTAGTAAGGAAGAAAAAGAACAAAACATTGAGAACAAACGATTTGTTTTACCTTTCAGCCTACCTATAATAAAAGGCTATTAAAGGCTCTACCTAGCATTTTAGCTCTGCAGAAGAAGATTCATGCGAAGCCTCGCGCAACAATCATCGACGATTAAGGCAGCGCACATGACATAAAAACGTGACCAATCTTTTTTTTCTTTTTTTTTTTTAAGTGACCAATCTACTCTAAGTTAGTGGCATGATTTTCCAACTGAGCGGAACATCGCCAATTTCTGAGCAACGACAGCTTCCATCGCGGCGACCGCCATGTCCATTGCATTGATAAGCTCCCTCTGTGGGTTGCTGACAGCTTGCATGTAGGCTTCCCGAAGCTCCGTATTCACGTTGAATTTAGTTATTCCAAGAGAGATGCACTCCTGCACGAATGTACGAAAGAAGGCACCAAAAAAAAAAAAAAAAAAAAAAAAGACACACAAGTTTAGCGCTGCTGTTATTACACCAGGATTGGCCGGGCTGGTCGGGTTGGCCGAAGAAGGGGGCAGTAGGATGGGTATATAATCGGGCAAGGCGTGAGGAATGGCCCTATCTGCTGCTGTTGATTTCCTCTTCTTCCTTCCTGAAGAGTCCGCTAATGGCGCAGCCGAAATGCGTCGAGCAATTGCTGTTGTACTCTTTTGTTTTCCATTGAGACTTTATGAGGAGGAAAAGTACTTTATGGCCTTTGGAGACGGATTTAATGTTTTTGGCATGCGTCACGGAGTGCTGAGTCACGAAGTGTACTTTTCTTCCTCCTATTTCCTCATGCTTTCACTGTCATTTGCCGGACGGTTCTCTCGTCTTCTGCAGTCATGCTGTCATTTCACCCCCTTTACCATTTTTGTTTGGAAAGAAAGCATTCATTTAAATTTTAAATCCTTTTTTATTATAGCAGCTGGAAATCGGTTGCAGTGTCCCTTACAGTGATTACCCGCCGCTCTACACTTCCCGCCATTATGACAGAAGGACCCTGAGACTGCGGCATTGTTTGTGGGACAGTCTCAGGGTCCTTCAGTCCCACCCTTAAACCACCACTACATTTCCCAAGCAACACCCGGAATCGAAAGCGTAACATTCCGGTTTCTTCGGAGGCTCGAAGCTTCTGGACCTGATGGATGGCTGTGCTAGCCAGGGAAAAAAAAAAAAAAAAAAAAAAAAAAAAAGAACATGGGCTTGCACTTCGGCAAAGGGGGGCAATCAACCATTCATTCAGTGGGAGAGCTACATCGGTACAAAGCCATTGCATGGTCCTTGTTTTCCCTAGTCAAAACTGGCGTAATTTACTCATTCTAGCTATCTTCATTCTGAGGTGCTTCTCCCAGTTACAAACTCCCTCCCTCCCTCCCTCCCTCTCTCTCTCTCTCTCTCTCTCTCTCTCTCTCTCTCTCTCTCTCTCTCT